CAAAAAATGGCTTTTAACTATAGTATGTAATTTGATCAACCATGGTTCATTTGCTCCGACATACAGACACGTTTATAAGTGTCAGCGTGTGAGCGTATCTGTACACAAAAGAATACCTTTCTTTTCTCCGATGCTTTCTCCACACAAAATATATAAAATTTAGGATCACATCACAGAATTCAATTCCATTCTCAAGAAATCATCTTCATCCGATCGCGAAACAATTTTTCTTTAATTCTACCGAGGTGATAGCTTCTCCGTCCTTCTATTTTTAATTTTTTTCATTGTTTGCTATAATAATTTTCATCCATTTTTGTGTATATATATAGTTAAAGATTATCCATTCGGTCGTGAATATATTTGTGTAAGATCATGAAACCTATTAATTTTTATTTCCGTGTTTTCTTGGTTTTCTTGTCAGGGTTTGACGCTGAACAGCTAATGGTTCATTTATCTGGAGCTCTTTTGTGTGTGTAAATAATTGTATATCTATTTTTGTTTGCGTTATCAGAGGAGTATTGTTGTGATAGAGAGAGGAAGAGTGTGATGCTACTTTGTATTATTCTACATCAAAAACTAATGTAACATTATCGATTTGTATTGTTTATTTGGCTTATCTTTTTTCTTCAACTTTTTTGCGTGAAGACAATTTATTCTGCTCGACAACACCATTTGATGCAAAGGGTATAATGCTATAGTTGTTGGTGCTCTGTTGGTTTCTTGTACTTAGTGGTGCTGCGTGCATATAGTTCTCTCTGTTTCACACCCGCATTAGTTTCTTGAATTTTGCGTGCAATCATTTTTCCCTTTCTCTGGTTCTTGAATATCATGTCTACGCACGGACACAGATGTCTCAATGCACATGAATGAGTTTCTGATACATATGATATTAATTATATTTCTCTTGTTATAGAACGTGACAGAAAAATGTATATAGTTTTATACCTTGATATTGGATTGGATGAGTGCAGGTAATCATCTGGAATTTTTAGGAGGGCATGTTGTTATAATTCAGTAAAAATGGAGAGCTTAGCACAGTTGGAAGTTTTGTGTGAAAGGCTGTACAATTCACAGGACTCAGCTGAACGAATGCATGCCGAGAACACCCTGAAATGTTTTTCCACAAACATTGATTACATTTCACAGTGCCAATTTATTCTGGACAATGCACTGACACCTTACGCCTTGATGTTGGCTAGTTCGAGCTTGTTGAAGCAAGTGACTGAGCATAGTCTCTCTTTGCAGCTCCGCCTTGATATCCGTAATATATTATTAATTTTTGCACATTTTATATTTGCTTCAAGGAAGGAAGTTTGTTATTCTATTGTGGCCAATTGTCTTTGTTTGACATGATAGTAAGTTTTAGTATCATACTTAAGTTGGCTTCCTAAGGGGCAAGAGAGAAATGACACTCGA